ACAAGCAGCAGGCTTCCATCGCTGGTGCCGTCGCTGCTGCCAACCATGTCCGCAGCGTCGCTCACCTGTACGGCGTCCCAGTGGTGCTCCACTCTGACCACTGCGCCAAGAAGCTCTTGCCCTGGTTCGATGGTGAGTGTATTGCTTTGCAGAAAGCCCTGGTAAGCCGTGTCCACCGCTGAGTCAGTGCCGACGCCACATATCTCAAGGCATGCTCGACGCTGACGAGGCATACTTCAAGAAGGAGGGCAAGCCTCTCTTCTCGTGAGTCATAATGTGTCTCGCTTTTGCTGGGCGTGCGAGCGATGCTGAACTCCAATTACTATGCTTTCCCATCCTGTCTGCAGTTCTCACATGCTTGACTTGTCCGAAGAGCCCAAGGAGGAGAACATTGCCACCTGCAAGAAGTACCTTGCACGTATGGCGAAGATCGGTATTTGGCTCGAGATGGAGATCGGCATTACTGGTGGAGAGGAGGATGGTGTGAACAATGAGGGCGTGGACAATGCTGCTCTCTACACCCAGCCAGAGGATATCTGGGAGATTTACCGCGAGTTCTCCGAGATCACCCCCAACTTCTCGATCGCTGCTGGCTTTGGTAACGTTCACGTGAGTTTTGCGGGGATGCGTGCGAAAGGGATCTGTCGCCAAGCTGCTGAGGCGCTAATCACCTTCGAATGATGACTCACCAGGGTGTCTACAAGCCCGGAAATGTGTCTCTCAAGCCAGAGCTTCTGGCCAAGCACCAAACCTACGTGCGCGAGCAACTCAAGACCGACAAGGAGCTTCCAGTGTGAGTCTCGACCGCCCTCGCCGCACGGTACCGCTTGCCGGCTTCTGTATTGACACACCCCACGCCTCGCTTCTTTGAACAGCTTCCTTGTGTTCCACGGTGGTTCCGGCTCTGAGAAGCACGAGATTACGACAGCCGTCAAGAATGGTGTTGTCAAGATGAACGTCGACACCGACACGCAATTCGCTGTGAGTGACATTGGAGCGTGAATTCGAAAATGAGAGTGTACATGTGCGCCTTGAAAGGCCATCTGACATATTTGCTGGACCTGCCTGCAGTACCTCGAGGGTATCAGAGACTTTGTGTTGAACAAGAAGGACTACTTGATGACCCAGGTTGGCAACCCCGAGGGCAAGTGAGTATGGTATAGCGAGCATCTGATCGCTTCACCTCAATCTGAACACTTACGCGCAATTCATTATTGCACTGCAGGGACAAGCCCAACAAGAAGCAATATGACCCCCGCGTCTGGGTTCGCGAGGGAGAAAAGACAATGTCGAAGCGCTGCACGATCGCCTTCGAGGACTTGCTCTCTGCTGGAAAGCTCTAGACACTACGCAAGCGTTCTTTCGCAGACCTCTCATCCTGTCTGCTGAAACGTGAACATTACAAAGCTCTGTGTACAAGCTAGATCATTTCAGTATCGCGCAATCAATTACAAAAGAGGATTTCCATAGCGAAACCAGGATGGGTAGCGTCACGCTCGCGTTGCTAGCAGGCGCTCGGTCTCATCTGAATCGGAGTGCTTACCGAAAGCAGCACACTCTACTGACGGCCTACATGCAATCTATGTCACCACACATCCGGATGCATTCTACGTGAACAATTCGAGCAAGCGATTGGCAAAAGGTGCCTTCAATCATGGGTCCTTTGCCTGCGGCGCGGGGGGGGGGAAGTATTGCACGCAGCGCAAGACAGATGATCAAAGGCGAACGCGCGTGCTCATCCAAAGACTCGTAGGCCTGCCAAGTCGACATGGTCCAAGGTGTGCTCTTTGCTTGACTTCTGCCCCTCGCTGCTTGCTCCGCGCTGGGCGGATAAAGTGCCATGGGCAACAGAGAGCTGAGCCAGCAATCTGGCCCTCTGCTCGTCCGTCCAAGTCTCGTTGGGTATGGGCGGCATAAAGTTGGCAATCTTGTCGTGCACTTCGTACTTGAGTCTTCTACCTTTTGACGCTCTGGTATCTACCGCTCGTTTGGGCCCTTTGGAACGTACCGTAAGGCCCATCAGGCCATCTGAACCGGACGCGCCTTCTCCTTTGCTGTCGAGCAGCTCTCGCAGCAACGAAGAGTAGAAGTCGGTATCGTCGAAAACGTTCTCGTCGGGCTCATAGGAAGTCGCAGCAACCCCTTCTTCTCCAAGTCGGTCTGCTCCTCGCCACACCCTTGTCCGTTTCAGCAGCCTCTTCATACTCTCCGGCTGCGCTAAAGAGGAGCGAACCTGCTCACCCGCTGCTCTGTTCACTGCTTTTAATTCCCTGCTGGACCCAGAGGGTCCGCTGGTGCTCCAAGCGTCCAGAACCACACAGGTCTTCTCCGCAGTGACACGGTGCAACGATAGGAACGCAGAGATGGACTGGTCAATGTCCCCGTCTCGCACAGCTTCTCCTGATGCCGGACGCTTTCCTAACACGCTTGATGCTTGATGGAACGCTGCAGCGACTTGGCTATCCGAAGCTTCGGCGATCGCAGCACGCTTGGAGAAGATCGACGCGTTAAGCTGGGCCAGATCTGACTGTAAAGATTTGTACGATGCAGCGCATTCTGGGTCCGTTTGGATTTGTGAGAGTGCATTGACCTATATGAGAGGGTGCTGGAATGTCAGTGCCGGGGCGTACAGAAAAGGCGCAATGAAGCTGCACTCACATCCCTGCAGAGTGCCACAGATTCCTTCAAGAAGCTCTGAAACTGGATGCGCGCCCTCAACGCTGCTTCCCACTGCCTGTACTGCTCTTTGACAGCTCTGCCTCTCTGTGCATCGTCCGCAGTCTGAGCTTGTAAGCGAGACATTAGCTCGGAGTCTGCTTGTGCTGCGGCTGCAAGCGTATTGCCACCTTCGCCCCTGTCAGCCTCGCTGCTCTTGTATTGAGTATCCTTGGCGAACCTAACTCGTAAAGGTGCCGCGGAAGAAGACGCAGGTGGTATTGCCGCTGATTTGTGAGCGCTGCTTCCTTCAGGAATAGCAGCTCCCACAGCTTCGTCCGACTCATCGCTGTCAAGGTCTTCATCCGACGCTGATCCTGAAATCCCGCTGGCTTCTTCTGCATCATCGCCGCCTTCGTCCTCGCTGCCGCTGGCATCATCAAATGCCTGGCTGGCGCTGACAGTCCTGCCCGCATACTTGCTCCCAGAGAGCATTCCGCTCTCGTCCATCTGGGTCCTCCGCCTCGAAGAGGGGCCCACATCGACATAGTGAGACTTGTCTGTCCGCTTTGACTTGCCGACATCTAGACCATCATCTTCTATATCTTCATCGTCGCTTGCATCAGACTCGTCGTCGGAAGCAGAGTGGTATGAAGTGGCAGGATCGAGTTGCGCGCTGCGCTTACCTGTCGACCCGTTCGAGGGCGATGGATTGGAGAGCTGGGCGAGCGTGTTACTGAGTGAGGAAGGCATGGCAGGAGTGTGGAAGCAGAAGGATGGTCATCACCCGAATCACAGTCACGAGCGTTCGACGGTATGTGCAGAGTGCAAGGTGACAAGACACCCACGACTCATTGATCAGATCAGGACTCATTTTTTACTCGGCTTGAGCGGAGCGCTTCGACTCAAATTCAGGACGCAAGAACTTGATCAGCGTTTTCGTGCTCGACAAAATTTCTGAGCACGTGATGACAAGCGAGACACGTGACGCCCCTTTCACTTTGACTGTTGTGAGACTTGAGACTTAACTCAAGACGCTCATCAAGCTCTTGCATCGGTGAGCGGAGTGCTTCGTGCTTCGATGCGGGATCACGCATGCATGAGAGTTTTGCTCTGACTGACAGTTTGGTGAGGCTTTGGGCACAGCAGACACAAGAGGCAAGCTATAGCGGATCGACAAGTCGCCCCAAGAAGTACGAGACCGTTTGATTTCCAAGCCGCAGGGCCGAGAATCGCTGCGCCGATCTCAAGCAGCATCAGCTATGATGTGGCTGCAGTGGTGCGGTATCGTCTCAACAGTCGTGAGTCAAGAGGCAGAGTGGGAGTATAGGTAGGCATACGCGTGCATCAGCAAGCACAGCTCACGGCCGGGGGCGGTGCTACATGTACCGCGGCTACCACGCAGCGCGAGTCTTGCGCGCTCCGCTCGACGCGTGCACGCGTAGGAGTTATCCTCCACGTAACCGGGGTTGCCTCGTCCAAGAGCATCAAGAATCACCCAATTCAAAGAACACAATCCGTGCCAAAAGTCCGCGGCTTGTGTAGCCCTGCCTGCCTTATCTCAAAGCGCCCCCTAGTTCAATTCCGCCTATATAGCTATATCGTCGCAACGCGCAGCCCTTGACTGACCCGAAGATTGACTCGAAAAGGCTTGGCATGCCGTCATCGCTTTACTGTGTGACTGGATCCGCCCTTGCGATGAGACAATTAATTAAGCGTCCGCAAACTTATTACCGGGGCAGGTCTTCATTCATTCCATGACGTGAATCTTGGATCGATATCGAGTGGGCAGTACTCGTAGTAGTCACAGTTGTAAGGCTGAGCGCGAGCGTGAAACACAAAGCACATTTCTTGAGTCAATCACAAAATGCGAATCTCGAATCGCAGCGAAAAACGCACAG